AAAGAAAGCATTATTTTAAGGAACCTAATTGCTTTGGTTCGCTTTTGGGTATCATTTCTCTGCACGTTTGATTTCTTTTTTAATAAAAAAAAAATGCCTATATTAATTTATATCTGTATTGTATTATTACACGAAAGGCAATTGAAACATTGTACAAAATATGTATGGCATACATAACAAAAAATATCGGTCTGTCTTACAATTCTAAACCAGCCAGCGACTTTCAATTCCTGATCAATATCATTCTGAAATAATAATTTTCCTGATTTATACCACACACATTTTTTCATCAAAGGTAATAATTTCAGTACTGTACTAAATACCAGTGTTTAAAGAAGAGGTTAACCGATTTTATGTAATTTGAGAACTGATTTATGTGATTTACATGTATCATTACCAAGACCGTATTTGTTCAAACTATGTGTTCCCAGAATTCTACAGTAGAGAGAATTGCAGCAGTATCACGCACTGATACATTTAAAATTTCGTTGTCTACGATCTAGAAAAGCCAAAAACTCTGGGTTCCAAAACCTATAAAATTACCGTCGTTAATTACGTAGTCTGCTTCAAATTAATCTAACAAAGGTAGACCTGTTATCCAAGGAACTTATGACAACATACACATTTTTTTTTTCTTTTTCACAAACTGCCTAGTAAGCCTAGTTGTTCAATCTACAGAACTGCTCTCTAAACTGCACAAACATTATGCATTATAATTTTGGATTTGTCTCCATCTCCGACGTTCAATGTCTTCTTCATCAAGTGGGTCTACAATTACTTCTTCTTCTTTTCTACCTGGACCATTCGATATTATACAAATACAAGGATAGTAATAATGCAATAACATTGTCTAGAGCCATCCCAATGCATTAAAGTGGCCTGTCGCTAAACGTAGATGGAGCAAGGTACCTGACGTCATCACAAATTTCGTGCGTTTACTCAAAGAACGTGCCAAAGATTCGTAATTTCAAAAATTGGATATTATGTGCCTGATTATGCTGCTATTACTGGTCGTCTAGGAAGAGCTCTGAAAAGTATATACAACCCATGCCTCTGCAAAGTCAGGACAGGTTTTGAAAACAAGAAATGGTTCAATGTAGAAACCGGTGTGAAACAGGGAAGCGTAGTATCCCCAATATTATTTATTGCATATATGGACAGCGTCATTAGAAATTTTAAAATGAAACACAATCCACCTATCTAAGTCTCATCATGGCCTATGCAGTTGACATCTCGTACTACACAGACGAAAGAGAAGATCTCGAGAGAGCAATTCATCATTGGAATGAATGTTTTAAAAGATATGGGTATGAAGATGAATGTCTCGAAGACTGAAATTCTGTATGTCAGTAGGAAGACAGAAGAAAATCTCAAAATCATCATCAACGGAGAAACTGTGAAAAATGTAGAGAAGGCAAAATATCTAGGAAGCATCATCATGCAAGAAGGTGGAAATAAATTCGATATCACGGAGAGAATTGGGACCTCAGAAGACCAAGCAGATCATTTTTGATACAGTCCTGTCACCTACCTTGATGTATGGTACAGAAACATGGGCAATAACAACAACTGACTGGAGTAGGATACAAGCCTCAGAAATGAGACCCCTCAGGATTATTACCAATAAGACCAGACGGGACAAAATTAAAAATGAGGAGATCCGAAGGCAGGTTGGTGTGACGCCCATTCGCAATAAAATTGAAGCACCTCAGTTAAGATGGCTTGGTCATCTAGAGAGAATGGATGAAGATAGAGTAGCTAAGAGATGCTGGAACTGGACACCATGTGGGAAAAGACCAAGAGGACGACCGAGGAAACGATGGATAGAGACAATTAAAGATACTTTAAATAGGAATAACATGCCCACCTTCCAAGAATTAAGAAATAGCGGTGAGATGTTAGTAGACAGACAAAAATGGAGAGAGAGAGGCTAGCACCACTGACAGGCGGACGCCTACCTGGGAGCTGAAGTAAGTAAGTAAGTAAGTAAATTAAAAGATTGAAGATTGCTTTTGGGTTCTTTGAAAAAGTGACCTTATTTTAACGGCGTTAAATCTTATTTTAACGCGCTAAAACTTATTTTAACGTCGTTAAAATAAGATTTTAACGGCATTTTTTTACTCTAGTTTAACTGCGCTTTTGTGCTCTATTTTAACGGCGTTAAAACTTATTTTAACACCGTGAAAACTCAATTTTAACGGCGCTTTTTTAAATCATTTTAGCGGCGCTTTTTTAAAACTTTATAATAACGCCGTTAAAATATAATTTTAACGGCGTTTTTTAATCTGTTTTAACGGCGTATTTTTTAAATCGAATTAACGCGATTTAACGAAAGTTAACGCAACTCAACACAAGTAAACAATCAAAAACAGGCTTTAGATGAGGAATTAAAGCGCAATTACGCGCACAGGAACGATGCCCCATTTTTTTTTTATTCCTCACACCCACCCCAAGGCTAAAAAATGAATGCAGAAAATTTGCAAGCGCTGCAACAGCGACTAAATGGAACCATAACTCATCTGTTGGAAGGAGTTCCGGAAGAGAATACAGCAGAATTAAACTTGAGAGATGAGTGAGTCTCTATGCATTTTTTTAAAATTTAGGCATGCATCTTATTAAGAATAATAGGTCCATGGTTTAGGCCTGCCGTACCGTAGAGGCTAGCAGTCTAGGCCGAGCATTTTCATAGTCTCGGCGGGCCTAACCACGTTAATAGGCCTACTAAAAATGACAGGGGCAGATCCAAAGCTGATGTCTGAAAGTGGTGGTGGGGGCCCGAAAGGGGGACCGATTGAGACAAAACTACCTACTAGTACTAGCCTAGACGCCCTAAAATAACCTCTGAGGCGTTTTAGGCGACCAACTTTTTCTTTTCCT